CCCAGAGAGAAGACGAAAGAAATTGTTTAACTCTTTAGATCCTGGGGGGGCTTGAGCTTTTCATTTCCATGGACCAGGAATTCCGAGTTTTGTTTCAACTAGTATGATTTGGGAGCTTCCCTGGAGGCTCAGCAGTAAAGAATCTGCCTGCAATGCAGGAGCCGCAGGAGATTCAGGTTCGGTCCCTGGGTTGGGAAGATCCGTGGAGGAGGGCATGGTAACCCACTCCAGTATTCTTGCCTGGAGAATCCCATGGACAGAGGAGCCTGGTGGGCTACAGTCCATAGGATCACAAAGAGTCAGACACAACTGAAGCGACTTAGCATGCATGTACATTATGATTTGAATTTCCATCACTTACTTTCAAAAGGCTGATACAACTAGCCTGAGTGGCTCTAAACTGTGCTGGGACTTCCCTGGCAGTCCAGTGGTTAAGACACTGAGCTTCCAATGCAAAGGGCAAAGGTTCAATCCCTGGTCAGGGAACTAATATCCCATATGCCATGCAGCCGGGCCAAGAAAATATTTTTAAAATATAAAAGTAACAATAATAAACTGTGCTGAATTTGAAGACTGGCTCTCTTTGCCAAAAAGAATCCCAGTCCCTAGCCAGGGAACCAAACCCTTGACATCCCCAGAGCTAATCCAGAAGATAAAATATCCAAGCAAGGTGAAGTTTTACTGGGTACAGAAGCAAGCTGCCCGCGTGGGTTTTCTTGGAGAAAAAAAAAATCAATGGTTCTTCCCATACGCCCTCAGGGGGGTCTGTCTAGAAGGCTGACTCACAGAACATGCTGCGTGTCACTTGGCCTCTGTCCTCTATGACTTTTCTGCAGGTCCAAAGAGGAACACAGCCTCCTCGTGTAATAAAAGAAATTGGCCAACATTCAAAACTCTTCCTGGGGATAAAGAGATTCTGGGGAAAAGCTGTGTCTGGGGGTGATTTTCAGTGAGCATGAGGTCTGAAGGGCCAGCCTCTTCTCTGATGGTACATGGTAGTAAGCAGCTCACACTCAGGGTACACTTACGGGGCCAGACACTGCATGAGGCTCTTTAAATACACTCTCTCATGTCATCCTCGACTGTTCTTATCAGGAGAGATGAGAGTTATCTTCAGTTTGCCCATGAGGGAACTGAGACTCAGAGAGGTAGAGGAATTTGCCCAAAGCCATCATGTACGGATGTGAGAGCTGGACCATAAAGAAGGCTGAGCGCCGAAGAATCGATGCTCTCGAATTGTGGTGCTGAAGGGGACTCCTGAGAGTCCCTTGGACAGCAAGGAGATGAAACCAGTCGATTCTAAAAGAAATCAACCCTGATTATTCATTGGAAGGACTGACGTTGAAGCTGAAGCTCCAATACTCTGGCCACCTGATGTGAAGAGCCAACTCATTGGGAAAGACCCTGACGCTGGGAGAGATTGAGGGCAGGAGAAGGGACGACAGAGGAAAAGATGGTTGGATGGCATCATCGACTCAATGGACATGAGTTTGAGTAAACTCTGGGAGATAGTGAAGGACAGGGAAGCCTGGCATGGTCCAGGCCATGGGGTCGTAAGTAGTCAACACGACTGAACATCTAAACGACAATGACATGCCTAGCTGGCGGCTGAAGCTGGGGCTTAGGCCTGGGGCAGAGGGTGAAAAGATGCACAGGCTGTGGACCTGGGTTTTGCCTATTTCTCAAAACCCTGGACTACGCAGGGCTGTGGCATTATCAAGTTTCAGGGAGCGGCCAGACCAGTGCTGACTGGTTAGCCATCCAGTCTACCCGTTGATGTGATAAGTAGGCTGAAGGCCAGCATCCAGCCCAGCACAGGGCCACAGATGTGACTGCATCTAAGAGAGGCTGGAAGGACAGGTACAGAGGACTAGTGTTTATGGAGCTCTTAGTATGTGTCCAGCACGTTTACATCAGATCATTCTTTGATGCAACAGGGAGATCACATAAGAACCAGGCAGTAATCGGGGTGCCAGGTAAAAGTCTATTTTTTCATCCAGCTAGTTTGTGGGATCCTGACCCCACACCCCTTTAGGGTTTGGTTATTCTCGTTTGGATAAATGTGGAAACTGAGGTTCAGGCAGGTTAAGACACCAACCCCGGGATCACAGAGGGTCCTGGTAAAGGTCTAAGCTGGACTTAGACATCCAGCCCTCAGTTTATGACAAAAATTCTTGATTATTCTTTTCCCCTCCCCCATAGGAAAACCCTCTTGTTTACTTGATTAAACAAATAAACAAAAATAAGCTGGGGCTTCCCTGCTGGTCCAGCGGCTAAGACTCTGCACTCCCATTGCAGGGGGCCGGGGTTCAGTCCCTGGTCGGGGAACTAGATCCTGCATGCCACAACTAAGAGTTCACATGCTGCAACTAAAGATCCTGCATGCCACAACTAAAAAGATCCCTCATGCCACAATGAAGACCCAAGACCCTACATGTCGCAACTAAGACCAGGGGCAGCCAAATAAATACATTTTTAAATTTTATATAAATAAATAGGCTGCATAGGCACAATTTTCACGTGCAAAGGGACATCCAACTTTGTTTTAAGGCAGTAGTTACTGACACAGCACCTCCTGGTTACATTCTCCAGCCTTCGCTGTGGACCAGAGTGATCCATTCAGAAGCCTGCTAGCTAACACATGACAGGAGTTTTTGAATGGGAATTCCTGATGATGCTTGAAATGCTCTGAGAACGCCTAGAGGTCTTCCTGGTACAACTTGGAGCTGAGGACAGAGTTCGTGAGATCCCTTCCTTTCCTCCACACCCACCCCCTTCACATTCCAAGCATCTAGTAGATATTTCCCTCAGGGGGACTTCACGCAGTGGTGTGCTGGTCGTGGTTTAGTCGCTAAGTAGTGTCTGACTCTTGTGAGTCCATGGACTGTAGCCTGCAGCTCCTCTGTCTATGGAATTCTCCAGGCAAGAATACTGGAGTGAGCTGCCATTTCCTTCTCCAGGGGATCTTCCCAACCCAGGAATCGAACCCGGGTCTCCCACATTGCAGGCACATTCTTTACCAACTGAACTAAGAGGGCAGCCCACGGTGTGCTGGAGCTGGATTATATCAGAGTTGTTCTGTCACTCAGTCCTGTCCTACTCTTTGTGACCCCAGGGACTGGAGCACAGTAGGCTCCTGTGTCCTCCACCATCTCCCAGAATTTGGTCCAATTCATAACCATTGAGTCAGTCAACTGTTAAGTTTTCAGAAATATGCAGAGCCAGTTGACATCATGTTGACAGCTTGAAATTGACCGAAGTGGGAATATTTACTCCACAGAGGTTGGCAAATGCCACAAATCAAGATGCTCCCCTCCCACAGCGAGCCAGTTGTTAAGCATTTTCCAGCACACCAGTGGACTTCAGAGAAGCAATCTGGTTCGCTCATGTACTTATTTATTCATTCAACAAACATTGACTGGGTTCCACCTCTAAAAAATAGTTTGCATTCACTCTCACACCTGCTCAGCCAACCTTAGCTCATGGGCTACTCTGTGCCAATGCTGTGTGTGCTAAGTCACTGCAGTCGTGTCCGACTCTGCAACCCTATGGACTGTGGCCTGCCGAGCTCCTCTGTCCATGAGATTCTCCAGCCAAGAGTACTGGAGTGGGTTGCCATGCCCTCCTCCAGGGGATCTTCCCCACCCAGGGATTGAACCTGCATCTCCTGCATTGGCAATCGGGTTCTTTACCGCTAGCGCCACCTGGGAAGCCCAGGCTCTGTGCTAAATATTGAGATTCCAGCTGTGGCAAGAGAGACATGGTCCCTGCTGGCATGGAGCTCAGTGTCTAGTGAGGGGGTCAGCTTTTAACTCTAAAAATGTCACACAACCTGTACTGTGAGTCGGAACTGATCAAAACAAGCTGGCAGGATGGGAGCAGGGAGACTCCAAGTGGAGGCGGTGGCATGTGCAAAGTCCCTGTGGTGGGAGGAAATGTGGCAACTTCCAGGAACTGGTGCATGGCCAACACAGCCAGAGAGGAAAGAGCAAAGGGGAGATTGGGGCTGGAGAGAGGCCCTGGCAGCCCTGGTGGGCCATGCCAGGGACTGGTCTTTATTCTAGGAGTCCCACCCCCAACCCTCAGTAAGTCTATCAAAAGCTGCCCATACTTTTCAAGGTCTGTGGAACTCAGTCCTCATTTCCTCATCATTTCCTTTCTATGGTACCTCTTTTTAGGCATGTTTCCTCTTTGGAAAAGTAAAGACTAAGATGGAGATAACAAGAACTTTGTAGGAAGGCTGTGGGGATTAAATGAAAGCCAAAACGGAAAGCGTTCAGCTGCGGGTCTGGCCGCCTGTGAACTGAACCACGACTCTGATTTTCCCTCCTCCCTCCAGTGTTTATTCAGCCCCCTTTGCTTGGCCGAATTCTGTCCTCAAATCCTGCCGCCTTTTCTGACTTCGGAGCACCGCGCCAGGCTCTGGGAAGTCAGCCAGGAACAACAGACACATGGCCCCTGGGTATGGGGAGCTGTCCTTTGCCTCCTGGTTTTCGTCTCTCGGATCTTTCAGCCAATATTTGCTGCATCCTTGGTGCTGCCAAGCGCTTGTCCTGAACAGCGAGAAGGCAGCGAGGGCTGACCACGGGGCGTGCCGGCAGCTCCCCAGGCTGCTTACGGGGTCTCCTCGGGCCCCGAGTCACCCTCCCCCGTGCTGCGCACCACTCTGAAACAGAGCTGCACACTTCCCCTCGGTCTCGCCAGCTAGCCTGTGCGCCCCCTGAGTGCTCGGCCTGGGGCTTGGAGCGCAGCACCCCGGTGCCCGGTGCACCGAGAGCCTGCCGCCGTCTGTCGAATGAATCCCCCACCACACAACTTCACGCGTGGTGCCAGAGGGCCCCGCCTCCTTCTCCCAAACCCCTTCCCCCGCTCCTGCCCGTGTCAGAGGCCACCTCGGCCGCCCTCTCCTCCGCAGAGCCCCTGCCCCCTGTTTGGATAAATGCTCCCAAACTGGCGTCCAGCCCCGGTTCCGCCCCCTGTCTCACCCTCCCCGGACTCACTGAGAAGTTGTCTGCTCGAGTCGCTGACAGTCACGTTCTCCTGCCAGAAGGGGTTCATCAGCGGCGTGCACGGGCTCTGGACTGGGTTGGGCAGAGGAATCGGTGGGTTGGGGGGGGTGGGGTTCAGACCCGGCCCGCGCCTTCGTCCCCACGTCCCGCCTGGATGTCCCACCCGGGGGGTGTGGGAGCGCGGAGCAGCGGTGGGCTGAGCCGGGCACCTCTGAGAGGGGCGATGGCAGCCCCAGGACCCCGGGCCACCTCCCGTCCGGCCCCGGACCTCGCGTTTCGCGGGCTCCGGGGCTTGAGAGCCCAGTGCGTGCCAAGCAACAGGTCCGACCACCGCCCGGGCTCCCCGGGTGCCCCCTTACCCCGGCAGGTCCGCCAGAGGCCGGAGTGCGAGCTCAGAGGCTCGAGCTGGCTGCGGTTGGCGGCCCCCGCCGGGCCCCGCGCCCCCGGGCCGCCCCGCTCCAGGCGCTCGGTGTCGATGATGTACCAGAAGTCAGTGCCGATGGCCGCCGCCAGGAGCACGAAGCTGAGCGCCCCGGTCAGCGCCGCCGCGCCGGCCAGCGCGCGCAGGTGCACCCGCATGGCCGAGCCGCGACCCCGCCCGCCGCCCGCCGCCCGCAGCTCCCAGCTCCCGCAGCTCGCGCGCCCGGGTTCTGGGAGCCAGAACTGGGTCCTCAGGACCTCGATCCCTCCCTCCGCCCCTGGCTCCGCCCCTCAGCCCCTCACCTGCGCGCTGGGACCTGCACCGCCTCTCCGCTCAGACCCCATCCCGGTCTAAAACCCCACCTCGATCCACCCGCGCTGCCCAGCGCACCCTTTCGCCCTCGCTCCTATCCGCTCCCGCACTCTCCACGCATCCCAGCCGTTCCCCGCTCTGCCCGGCCTCTGCCGTTCCGCTCAGCCCTCCCCGCCACCCCAACGCCCACCCCCAGCTCAGGGAGTCTGCCCTCCGACGCCCTTCTCACAGCTCCGGGCTCAGTAGGGGAGCGCTCCTCCTCTGTGCCCAGCGCAGGGGCGTCAGCACAGGGCAAAGGGCAGGGTGGTGCCCGGGGTGGGGGGGGGGGGAGTGGGGGGCGGAAGGCAGTCTTCCCACAAACGGGGTGAGGGGGTAAGTGGGTAGGGGCGGGGGGAGTAGGAAGGACAGCTAGCACCTGTCCTGTTTGCAGATCATCCTTAATAGCCTCTCCCTCCAGCTTCAACCACTCTTTCTGCAAAATCTCCCCCTTCAGTTGATTTTTCTAGGCTGGCTACAGAGAAAAAAGATAGATCAGTTTTTTTATATAAAAGTTCTTTAATGGATAACCAACAAGGTCCTACTGCATAGTACGGGGAACTATATTCAGTATCCTATGATAAATCATAATGAAAAAGAACATTTAAAGAAGAATGTGTGTGTAACTGAATCATTTTGCTGCAGAGCAGAAATTAAGAAAACATTGTATGTGGAAGCAACAGAGGACTGGATAAAGAAGTTTGGTATATATATGTATGGTGGAATATTACTCAGCCATGAAAAGGAATGCATTTGAGTCAGTTCTAATGAGATGGATGAACCTAGAGCCTATTATACCGAGTGAAGTAAGTCAGGGAGAAAAACAAATATCGTATATTAATGCATATATATGGAATCTAAAAAGATGGTACCAATGAACCTATTTGCAAGGCAGCAATGTCCATGGGGGTGGCAAAGAGTTGGACACAACTAACACTTAGTGGAGACACAGACATAAAGAACAGACTTGGACACAGTGGGGGAAGGAGAGGGTGGGACAAATTGAGAGAGTGGCATGGAAACATATATTAATACATTACTAAATGCAAAATTAGAAAGCCAGTGGAAATTTGCTCTGTGATGCAGGGAGCGCAAATCCTGTGCTCTGTGACAACCTAGAGGGGTGGGATGGGGTGGGAGGTGGGAGGAAGGCTCATGAGGGAGGGCACCTGTGTATCCCTGTGGTTAATTCACATTGATGTATGGTAGAAACCAACACGATATTGTAAAGCGACTAGACTCTGATTAAAAATAAATAAAATTTTGAAAAGGCCACATTCTAAATCAACTACCCGTCAATAAAAGAGAGTCTGGTTTCTAGTCTAGGCTCCTGGTCAGGTTTGAAAAGAGTAAGTGAAATGTTGTAATTTACATTTTTTAACATCTCACTCTCCCTACCGATTATATTGTGAAGCAGAGACTGTAGGGAGACGGCACAGGAAGCAAGGAAGCCAGTTAGCAGCAACTTAACCATAGAAGCACAAGAGATGTTTGGATGTTCAGGCCATGGTGGGGCATCCGGGAGTAGGTGGAGAAGTGAATAGATTATTTTTTTAATTGAGAGTGGTTGACTTGATAGGATGTGGTGATAGACTAAGGCTGACAACTACTCTTTTCCTTGTTTAATTGTCTCTACCAACACCATCCTACTCTTCATCACTAGCATCCTGATCTCCTTTAGCAGCTGCAGCACCCTGAACAGAGCCATCACCAGCAAGAACACATGCTCCCCTTGATTTTACCACACCATTCTGCTCTGTGACCCCCTCAACCACCATCTGAGTAAGACTGATATCTCCCGTAACCATCTCCTGAGTTATCCCAGGTGGCATAGTGGTAAAGAATCCGCCTGCCAATGAAGGAGATGCATGAGACGCGGGTTTGATCCCTGGATCGGGAGCACCCCCTGGAGAAGGAAGTGGCAATCCACTCCAGTATTCTTGCTTGGAAAATTCCATGGACAGAGGAGCCTGGTGGGCTACAGTCCATGGGGTCGGGGAGTCGGACATGACTGAGCGTGAACACATACAGTTAACCATCCCCACTAAAGATTTCGCCTTCCACTCTATCATGTTACTATTGTTATCTTCAATCACACCATCATCCAAAGAGTCCTCAACTGTTCCATCGACATTTGGGAGCCTAACTGAAGGTACAATTCAATGAGGTGGGTCCCAGGACCCCCTAATAACATCTTTACAGTTTAATCTCTTCTCTCTCCATTTCTCTACATCTTTCAGTTGTTTGTCCTCTCCTGGCTTCATTCTTATTCAGATTCTCATTGGTTGGAACCCCAGAAGCTACTTTTTTCATCACTTAGCAATCCCAACAAAAAGAACAAATGTCTTTCTCAGTGGTGCAGGTCAGATTTCCAGGACCCCCATCTCTGACCCAGTCTCTAGGAATGATAGGAGTAGAAGGCACCGCCTGGCCAAGCCTGGATCAATCACCCTCTTGCTCCTGAAACCAAGGGAGGGTGAATTGGTCCCATCCTCACCATTTGAGTTAAAAGGTGTCCTGGCTGCCAGATGCAGCAAATAAAAACAGAGGTGCCCAGTTAGTTACATCTGAGGCCTTCCCAGGGACACCAGAGGTAAAGAATCCACCTGCCAATGCAGGAGACTTAGGAGATGTGGGTTTGGTCTCTGAGTCAGGAAGATTCCCTGGAGGAGGAAATGACAACCCACTCTGTAGTATCCTTGTCTGGAGAATCCCATGGACAGAGGAGCCTAGCAGGTTGCAGTCCATGGGGCCACAAAGAGTCGGACACACCTGAGCGTGCACGCACACACACACACACACACACACACACACAGAGTTACATTTGAATTTCAGATGAATAATAAAATTTTAGTGTAAATATGCTCCATGCAGTATGTGGGAGACACTTATATTTTAAAACTGTTGTTGGACTTCCCTGGTGGTCCAGTGGTAAAGAATCCACCTGCTGATGCAGGGGACACAGGTTCAATCCCTGATCCAAGAAGATCCCACATGCCGTGGGGCAACTAAGCCTGAGAGCCACGACTGCTGAAGCCTGCGCACCCTGGAGCCTGTGCTTCACAAGAGAAGGCACCACAGTGAGAGGCCCACGCCCTGCAACTAGAGGGTAGCCATGTCCACCACAATTAGAGAAAGCCCATGCGCAGCAACGAAGACTCAGAGAAGCCATTAATTATTTTAAAAAGAAAATAAAACTGCTGTTGCTGTTAAATCTGAAGTTCAAATTTAACTGAGCATCCTGTCTTTTCTCTGGCAAAGGTAGCTGGCTCCCCAAAGGACAGTGAAAGTCGCTCAGTCGTGTCCAACTCTGCGGCCCCATGGACTACACAGTCCATGGAATTCTCCAGGCCAGAATACTGGAGTGTCCCCAAAGGACAACCAAGGCGCTATGACCACAGCCAGGAGAAGGGGCGGTGGCAGGGTGGATGGTACCCCCTCCACCCAGTACGGGCACTTTCCTTCACTGGGTCCCATATCCCTCATCTCCATAAGGAGACCTTCTTCCATGCCCCGTTGCAAAGACAACCTTGTTAGGCTTTGATCATTCTATTTTTTCCTGAGGATTTTGATAGAATCTACCTGAATCATGCTCAGTCACTGTAAAATGAACAGAAAGTAATGTTTTTCAATGAATCTGGGGCAGGGTGGGGGGTGGGCACATCAAACAACGGATGCTCTGACTACTCAGCCAGTCTGCTGAAGAGGCAGGATAAAACCAGAAGGCTTCCGAGGCAGAAACCAAACAAAGCACCACCTTTAGAGCCAAAGCCACATACCGAACCCCGAGCTGGTAGAGAACGGCTTTGCACAGCAGTTCAGGAGGCTGGTCCTGAGTCTTTAATCAGCATCTGTGTGAGCCCCGAGACTCAGACTGAGCTTCAGTCTGGTTTTTTTTTTCCTCAGCTGTAAAAAGTGGGTAATCGTACCCACCAGTCCCAGGAGGGCACTACGGAGGGTGTCTGGATGGTGGGTGTGAAAGTACTTTGTGACCAGGCTTCCAGTTAAGAATCCGCCTGCCAACGCAGGGGACACGGGTTCAATCCCTCGTCTGGTAAGATCTCACATGCCTTGGGGCAACTAACACAACTACTAAAGCCTGTGCACCCTAGAACCCATGCTCCGCGATGAGAGAAGCCACTGCAATGCAGCTAGAGGGTAGCCCCTGTCGCCGCAACTAGAGAAAGCCCACGCAACAACAAAAACCCAGTGCAGCCAAAAATGAATGAATGAGAGAAGGAAAGTCTGTTTTCAAAAAAAAAAAAGGACTTTGTGACTTAGGCAGAGTCATACCAATATTATTATTAGAAGATGTGAGAGACACTTTGAGAAGTAGAGAGGAGTGTATTTCAGACATGCAAAGAACAAATATTTAAAAGAAACAGAAGGGCAGAAGGGAAGGAGGGAGGAAGTCAGGATGCTGGAAAGAAGGGTTTCCTTTCATTAGGAAGCATCTAGTGTCATGGAAAAGCCAATATTTTTCTAATCAGTGAGATCTGGATTTGCGCAAGTGTATAGCCCTGAGAGTAGGGAAAACCACTCGACCATTCAGGTATGACCTAAATCAAACCCCTCATGACTATACAGCGGAAGTGAGAAATCGATTTAAGGGACTAGATCTGATAGACAGAGAGCCTGATGAACTATGGACGGAGGTTCGTGACATCATACAGGAGACTGGGATCAAGACCATCCCCATGGAAAAGAAATGCAAAAAGGCGAAATGGTTGTCTGAGGAGGCCTTACAAATAGCTGTGAAAAGAAGAGAAGCAAAAAGCAAAGGAGAAAAGGAAAGATATTCCCATTTGAA